TGTGTGTGTGTGTGTGTGTGTGTGTGTGTGTGTGTGTGTGTGTGTGTGTGTGTGTGTGTGTGTGTGTGTGTGTGTGTGTGTGTCGGCGTGTGTGTACGAGTGACCGTGTTTGCGTCTATTTGCTCATTAGTTCCGCCGGAAATCAAATGAAAAACTAACGATAAATACAACGCCAACTGGGAAAACCTCACGATTCGCAGGATGGGAAGGTAATGGCCACATCTCAATTAGACGACAGGCCACAGCGATCATTACTACGTAGATAATCAATTGCTAGCTCTGCCGACCTTTACAGAACCTATGTGATTATCATGTATGCTTCAGCTGCGCGCTGAAACGAGCCAGCAGGATGTGACAAACGCGCACGCAGGTGCATCAGTGCGCACGCATTCGTGTCCAGGCATTCATGTGCTCATCATATTAAAATTAGTAGGTCAGGGGAGAGATAGTGATCCGCGAGATGGCGCTTTATTAGTGTATTGTAGCTGCAGAAATCAGTTATCCCTAACCCTAACCCTAACCCTAATCCTAACTCTAACCCTAACCCTAACCCTAATCCTAACCCTAACCCTAACCCTAACCCTAATTCTAAAATAAAACAAAATTAGCCAAAAATAATAAAATTAAATAAGAGACAAAATTAGCCAATCAGAGCCGTCCCCTAGCGGATCTCTCCCTTGTGCAAAATTTTATTTAAATGGCAAGCATTGCTCATTTTTCTGCTTGAAAGCTTACAAACTACAGACCATCCGCTGACCGCTGTGGAGACGTGCGCCGGCCCTCGAATTTGGCGCACGTCTCCACTGCGGACAGCCCTTGACATACTTGAACATCCCCGCGGTCGCGTGCGCATATCCCGCGGAACTGCGCGTCTCATCCGCGTGCAGCGCGCAGGATCAACAGCAAAGCTGTGCCACGCAATCTTGTATCATGTCTCTCTGGATATAAGCGTGTTTTAGGAGTTCCCCCCCCCATCGCTCCCATTGGTTCATCGATACCATTGGTGAATACCATTGGGAATACCATTCATCGATACCATTGGTGAATAGAACTCGAAAACCAAAGCAGATCGATTCCTCAGTTTTGATATGAAGGGTTTTTGTTAAACATCCATATGAAACATAGCGAAATGTGAAATCGTTCCCTCGAGTATTCAAATCTGCTCGAAAACTATAATCCTAATGGCAAATAGATACTGCTAGATCCCTAGAGTCATTTTTGTTGCACATCAAATTATGGAATGCAAAATAGAATGTGACATATTCTACACGGCGATAAGTTTGGTTTCTCGGCAGTAGGGGTTCTATTAGTGTTGGCTTTCGGATGCTCAGCACATAGTTCACAACAGAGAATCAGTGATGCCCTTTAATCCCACAAGGTGATCGATATCTATCTCAGGCTCTGTCTTCCACTAGAGTCCCTTAATAGATAGTCTCTATAATTAAGGGACTCTATAGCGCCATCTTTTGTCGGTCAAACGCGTCTATGTGACCCGTTAAATTCAGAATACGGTCAGTCAATAACCCATAGCATCACAGAAAGACTGAGAAGCAAAGAATTAGAAGGAAACCGAATGAATCCAAGTGAGTATTGTTGTAAGACGTGGTTATGTGTGTGATACTATATGCAAGATCTTCTACGGCATCACCACTAATAACTTCGTCTTGGGATTAGGTATCCGTTAACAGGCGCCGACACGTGTACACTTTACTCATTACACACATATTTCTCAATACGGAGATTTGCTGCCCCGTGATAAGCGAACCATCACGCGCGCCCTACTAACGCTGAATATGGAGAGAAATAGATAGATTGCTAGGGAGAAGGGGGATGGAACGGGATAGAGAAAGAGCGAGAAGGAGAAAGCAAGAGAGAAAGAAAAAATCGCTAAAACGCCTAAATTAGTTGAAAAAATGGTACCGAAAGATTTTTCGAGCAAGCTAACCTCTTGCATAAACAGTATCTCACCCTACTACCGTATACCGTTTGTCATTTCTCATAAATTAATAGTGTACATCAACATTATCAAATTTCACAATTCTATTTATACATTCCGTTAGGCAATTTTGGGAATGAACAGCATCATTGTCATTGTAACCTTATTTGCCTTGTTATATTTTGTTGCTTTATTTATTGTGTGGGAAAACATTTTAGTTAATGATGTTTTGAGACAACATTAACTTAACATCAATAGACGTATTTGTTGTCGGTAGTTGTCGGTGATTTACGGTAGATGTCGGGAATTGTCGAAAAAGTCACGGACTAAGAACACGGCACAGTTGGTACATAAATTACATGTCTGTATTTAGAAACAGTATTCAAACAACAAAGCTGTATCATTTCGCAGGATCATCAATCTATATATTGTATATATACTAGCATATCATACCATGAACATATGTATGGTATATACATATGTTCAGGATAATACATGTCCCGGTCTAGTCTTATTACATAGACAAATAAGTGCAGTAGTGAAAAAGACAAGGAGAGAGGGGGAGAGAGTTTTAGATTCACTCAATTCGCTATGGCTGCAGTGATTATTAGTCTGAACGCACACAAATTTATAGTGTGAACTGAAACTGGAGGATAATGGACAATTTGTATTGTTTTATCACACATTTGCTTTCTTTCGCCAATTCGGCCATTCGTTCATGGTTCATCGTTCATTCGTCGTGTGTGTGTGTGTGTGTGTGCGTGTGTGCGTGCGTGTATGCGCGCATGTGTGCGTGTGTGTGTGTGCGTGTGGGTGTGTGCGTGTGCGTGTGCGTGTGAGTGTGCGTGTGTGTGCGCGCGTGCGTGTGTGCGCGTACGTCTTTGAATGACATGGGTTTACACAATAACATGAAATAGATGACAATTATATCCACAGATCCCATAAACTAGGTAGGATGTCTATTGCTCGAATTGTGCTTTCCTATCTGACAGTTCAGTTGGCTCATTGCACTCCTCATTTTCCTTGAGGACCTGACCGTAGCAGCATTGCTGAGAGAAGATGTCATACAAATATTCTCTGCAGCACGCGTGAATAGTGATGAAACCAAACTTGGAATAGACGTTTCCATTGCAGCATATCTGCGAAGAGTAAGTTCACAAGTTATATACGTGTGGAAATATAATACTATAATATTAGAGTAAGTATATCATATGATTCAATATCGCCTTTGTCAATATGAATAATAATCGATATGACTGATTTTGATAGCATTCGTTTCCATATGATATACTGATCATATTGCCTAGTTAATTAGAATAACACACACGCACGCACCCACGCATCGAAATATATAAAGAAATTCAGTTGAAATAATTTAATTGTGAGATTATAATTAAAGCCCAGCATTCGAGTTCACATACAAGAAAGCGAGCGTTCATTCATGAAAGTGTGCCTCGCAAAAAATATCTCAAGAGATCCATAACCATACGAGAGATGAATTTGTCGAAAATTGAATTAGATTATTAGATTTTATGTTGATAAACTTAAAACGTATGATACGACCCTATATAAAACCAGTGAAACGCGAGAGATTAATTCCAACATGAGAATATTCTATCGGCGCTAGCAAATAACCTCTCGCTGAATTTTCTCTGCGACGTCTATTCTCTTTGTGTGAGTATTGTAAAGTGCGGAGGAAGGGGACAGCGGAAGTTCTCGCCGTTGCAGCATACGCGGCCACCACGGTCTCCGAGGCGCGTCATCCCGTAACTAAGCGTGCATCGATACGTTTTTTTGTTTATTCGAGTGAGTGCTTCTCATCACTGCACACTTTTGTAGCCACTGATGCGGTGCGTGGTCACGAGAGACAGCGAGAGTGTGCGCAAGAACGCGAGACGGGAGAATAGCGGCGAGTGAGCCAGGTGGAATTGAGACGGACGCAATTAAATGGTCAGAGGCCGTGGAAAAGAGTTAAGGGATTTAGTGGGAACATCCTCGTATGTTTCCATCAAAGACATTTCGGATGTACCATAGCTAGATGCTGTTCAGATTAGTCTATCAATTGCCCAACGTGTCTGACACCTACAGGAATATTAGGAGAAAGCGGGTTCGGGTATAAATATAGGAGAAATGTCGAATGAACAATTTATTGATAAACAAGAAAAAATGCAAAGCAGTATGTAAACCGAAATGATCCAAAACATCCATATTTTTAGGTTAACATGTCACAGATAGCAGTAGAACACTCTCACGTCATTATTTTTACCGACATATATGCAGCGATTTAAAGGTTTACTTGTTTACTCGTGTCAACAACAATAAGAATCGATTCTCGCATCTCACGACATGCCATTGACTGATATACACTGTCTTCACTTCACACTACGTTACCTTTGTACACATGTCGAGATAGGGTACTAGTCTAGAACAATTTACGTCACAGCAGATGCACTTGTATCTGTGGCAGCATTTTCGAATATAATTTTAGCGGATCGTATGCAGGCGTAAGTCTGTTGTTTATTTGCTATCCTATACATGAAACCGCGCTTACCTCTGCCTCTGTCACCCACACACACACCACAGCAGCACACACCAACTACATGACTGCTTCACGCGCTGTCCCTCTGTCACTAGCAACTACATCGACTCGCTCATCAACGACACACATCACACTTACTATCGTGCCTACCAGCACACCATCTCGCTCTCTCTCCCACGATCATCTCTCCTAGCCACACATACATTGATTCCTACATTACACAAACAGCTCCTCTTTGTCACCAAGCACTCACCATAACATTCGCATGCTTTACCCTCATCTCTCTCCATCGTTATCTTCTCTCTCCTGCCTCTGCCTACTCTCTAGCACATACTCATCGCATCCTGCGTTATCCCCTTACACTTACATGTCTACCGTCTCTGCTCTCTGCTCTCTCGTCTCTCTCTCCTGCACTTCACTACCATCACGGCCACAACCACACGACATCACGCACATACTTTGACTGCCTCTTACCCTCCACACTCTGTCACCAGCCACACACAAACACCCATTGACCTTCGCTTTTAACCTCTCCCCTTATCATGTCCCACGCCATCGTCATTCTCTCCTCTGCTCCACCACTCATACTACACGACTACCACACACTACAGCTACTCTCCCTTATCTGCTCTCTCTTTCCATCCATCTCTGCTCTCCGGTGCTTCATTCCTAACACTCTCTCTCTCCACTCTCTCCTTCCCCACCATTTAATCCTCTCTCTTCCTGTCTCACCGCCGTCTCTCCACAAAGCACCATCATACATTGACTTGCCTTCACGCTTCCATCTCTCTCTCCCCGTTTCTCGTCCACCCCTCAGCATCCGTTCAGCATGCTCACTCCTTCCTTCCAGTGTCAACCACACTCATCGACTCATCCCTCTAGATACCATACAAAATTATCCACTACGATCCCTACTGCTATCACAATGTGACTCGCCAACGTGGGCCGCAGTCCGTCACACTTTCATCATCCCTCGACTCAACATAATCTTCTCTCTGCTCTCTCGTGTCAGCACACACTCGTCTACCTTTTTGATCTCTGCTTCCTCGCTGCCCGATCTCTCCTCCTTTCCTCCATCCACTCTCATCCACTACGTCTATTCATCTTATCTTCTCCCTCATCGCTCTCTCCAGACTCTCTCTCTTTACAACACATCACACAACATTGTAGCGCTTGGACTTGATTTACCTTCTCTCTCCTCCTGTCCGACCGCTACATCGTCTACGCAATCACGTCACACCCATCCACATCCACACATCTTACATTTGACTGGCTTTACCACTCCACGACACTCCCTCAGCTCACTCCTTGCAGCATCACGCATACATGACACAGCACGCAACCCACATACAGCTCTACACACACATCACGCTCTCACCCCTCTCTCAGTCCACACATACATGACTGCTCACGCCCCTCCCTCTGCACCGTCTCTCACGCACGAGCCACACACATCACACTACACACACACACGACACACACCATAAAGACTGCCCTCCCCTTCCTGGTCATCAGCACTACACTCATCAAGACTTAGTCCGGATTCGCTACCTTGGCCACCCGCGCGCTCCGCGTGCCTCCTGCAAGACGCCTCTGTTCCCTCTCTCACGTGTGTAATTCATATTAGTATATCTCGTTATACGTACAACTACACGCAATGGTCGATATGCTGCGCATTCACGTTTCAGATTGCTTAATAATCATGAACTGCTTAGCTAACGACCATCTACCATTCACCACACCTCTTCTCACTGTAGTTTGAGCTCGGCGAGTCCCTGCTTAGGCATCTCATTACGTGCCGTGTATTTGCCGGTGTTCCCCGCCCTAGCAGCCTTTACTATTGGCACAGGTTGGTTGCCAATGAAATTCGTCACACATACACGTCAGCTCACAGTGCCATCTCATGGATTGAGCGGTCTCACTCTCAAGTCCCAATCATACCTGTACCTGCTTAACCGCTCCCTCTGTCACCCGAAACTTCAGCACAGCCAGGCCCGACTCACCCCCAGGTTACGCGGCTCAAGGCGTGGGTTTCTCAAGACACGATACCTGTTGCGCACAAGAGCACTGTCTCAAACTGTATGACCAACTGTACTGCACGTTTGAGCCACATTAGTTATTGTGCCCTCCTCCCTGTCACGGTCACTATGCATATTGATGTATCAGGTTAAGCGCCAACAACGTCTCTGTAAGTAGAAGAATTGCACGGCGTCTAGGAAGCGAGCTACGTACATGACTTGCCTTCTTAACCCTACGCTGTTGGCACTTCGCGCTCCCGCCACTCTCACTATCCCACGCATCGCTCGCACTCCCGTGTACATATCGATGTTCGGGTTAGGTCAGAGCGCCTGGCGGCTCCCTGTCAGCGCCACTACCGTACATGCTCGCCCCAGTTAGTCGCTCATGACCTGAGGCAGTGTATAATTTATATCACAACATAGGGGACAGGTTCCGGCCCTCCCTCCTCCTGTCACCCCACGCAGGCCGCACGCGCTCACATGACGCGCGTAATCTGCGACTACATAAGCGCTTGCGCACGCGAGCACGAGCACACGTACGAGTGAGCCTCGTAGAGACTGTCGATGGTCAAGGCCCGCTCGCCCGTTATCACCATGTCCCAGCCACAATCATGCACCTGCTTACCCTCTCCCTCTGTCAGCTACGCGTGAGCGCCGCACGCGAAGAACGCACCGCAGACGCAAACGGCGTGCGCAATCCGTAAGAAGCAATACATATATCACAGTATATATACTATATATCAATATATATACTGTATTTATAATCGCACAATCCTACGCAGTACATGGCTTGGCCCAGACCCCCGTTACTGTTTCTCTTGCGGCTTCTTCCCTGTGGATCTCAGATCGTCCACTCGGTTAAACTCCGTCTGTTATCGCTGACAGTCTTACTGCGGTGGCACAAGACAAAATGGCCGCCTGCATCGATAAGAAGAACTTCTTGCGACAGTTCAGGAACACGCACACGAGAGAGCTGAACAATTTAACTGCACATCAGTTTTTCCAAGTGTGGATGCACTATGACAAGGGACGAGAGACAGATCCATCAGCATCGATTACAGCTTTTAAGCGGCAATTATCGCTAGTCCGTTTTCGGCCGCAGGTGCATTGTATCCGTTTTGCTGGGCATGAAATGTTTTCCTGAGAACACTTCACACATATTTCGAGATACTGTGCCTGGTCAACGTACCGGTGTCGCATCGCTGCACTGTTGTATAATACGTTCTTTCAGACATTATTAGAGTACAAATAGGTGATCTTTCCCTGAGCAGAAGAAATCACTATAAACAATAGTGACAAAAAGTTGGGGGCTGCGTTGCTCTTATAATCATACCTATCTATAATGTTAACTACTCAAGTATAATAGTTGGAGAGAATGAAAAAATTCATGCGTAACATGTTGCTCAAATAAAGGTAACTGTAGCTTTTTCTCAAATCACTTTAATCCGCGTAATCTTATAGACTTTGCATATTTACCGTCCATTGAATCCGAAATTATTACTTCTCAAATAAATCGGAAAATTAAATACATGTAGGCAAATTAGCCTTATACTGTTATTGACCCATTCCACTTTAGTTATCT